TCTCTCTCTCTCTCTCTCTCTCTCTCTCTCTCTCTCTCTCTCTCTCGTGTCTGTACTCCTAAGGAGAGCAGTTATACTGGGTAAAGCAACCTCAATAGCCTCCTTTTAACTCCATTGCGCCTGCAAGGACCTCATCTTCCTTCATTAGAAGAGATGAGAATCTCAACATTTTGGAAGTTGTGCCGGTTAGTTTTATCCAGTTGACACAAATTAGAGACACGTCGTCAAAAGAGGAACCCTCAGCTGAGGAATTGCCTCCATCCATCAGATTTGCCTGTGTGCATGCCTGAGGAGGCGTTTTCCTAATAATGATTGACGTGGTCGGTCCCACCCACCCCTTGGCAGGTGTTTCTGGGTTAGGTAAGAACGCAAGCTGAGCGAGACAGTAGTAAGCAGCATTTCTCTCTGATCTCTGCTTCAATTGGGGTCTCCAGGTTTCTACTTTGTCATCTCTGGGTGATAAAGTGTAAGCTGTATGATGAAAACAGCGCTTTCATACCCAAATTGCTTCTTGGTCATGGTGTTTATCGAAGGAACAGACAGAGGATCATAACTCAACCCCGTACAATGGGGTTTAGCTCGGGATGTTGGCGTCTCTCTGTATAACTGTTCTGGAAACTGGCTCTGTTGTATCCCTACTCTGATAAGTAGCATTCTTTCCTTTTGTATGTCTGCAGTGAGTCAGGTGACCCTGGGATAAAACATGAGCAGAAAGGCCAGATGCCGATGATAAACAAGCAAGGATACTCAGAGAGCTTAAAGCGCCGCTGGTATCATATTCCCGCTTTACTGGTTCTGGATTGCCCTTGGCAGTCTTCGGACTTCCGTACTGAGAAAAACGCCTTGTCATTTAGCCACAGTGAATAAATTTTTGTACAACTAACACACTTTTTCTCCCCTTGAAAACAACTTCCAAAGAGTGAAACTGAAAATGGACCAGCCTGTGCTTTGAAGACGGTCTTGTTAGTGTTTCAAGTACGCCCTGGGTTTAACTTCCTATGCAACCCTTCTAAAGTCAATCATGCATGTTAGCAGTTTAATATGGCATGTCCTAGGAGCTCTGAAGAAGCAAGTGACAGCTTTTTAAAAATAATTAATATATATTTCAATTCTCCCCCTCCACCCCCCGCAACATACACTCAGTACAATTTTGACTATGCATTTATTATATATAGCTTTTATTATGTTGCGGTATGATCTTTCTTCATCTAATTTGCTCATGGATTTTATCACGAAGGAATGTTGGATTTTAGCAAACCCCTTGTCTGTGTCTATTGAGACTGGATTGTGTCCAGTCAGTTGACGTCCTGTACTGTGTTAAGTCATTCTTGCATCCCTAAAATGAAACCAACTCGATCATGTTGTATTGCTTTTTGATATTTTACTGAATTTGATCTGATAATAATGAGGCTAAGAATTTTGTCATCGACTCTTATCAGGGATATTGGTCTATTGCAACAGTACTCCACCTACAGGTCACAACCCTTTGGGGAGACAAACAACCCTTTCACAGGGGTCACCTAAGACTATTGAAAAACACAGATATTTTATATAACTGTAGCAAAATTACAGTTATGAAGTAGCAATGAAAATAATTTTATGGTTGGAGGTCAGCACAACATGAGGAACTGTATTAAAGCGTCACAGCATTAAGAAGGTTGAGAACCACTGGTCTATAGCTTTCTCTTGTGAATTTCTCTGCCTTCAGTAAGAGGGTCATGCTGGCCTGATATAATGTGTTTAAGGGATTGCTCCCTTTTAGTTATTGGGAATAGAGAAAAACTGGCCTTAACTGGAGGGATCTTCACTAGGAAAGCCCAGGACAGTTGCATTTGAAAGGAGATCACTAGAGCCAAAGTCCCTTCTTCCCTCAGCAAGATTTCCTGGTTCCAGAGCATAATGCCCTAGTTTCCTGGGACACTACTGAGGATGGCAATATCTAGTCCAGGAATGGGAACTCAGAGTATATCAAATACCCCAGGATTCTGTTGTTCTGTCTTCATTTCCTGTTTCTAAATTTGTTTTCATTTAATGCATTTGGCTATTTTGCTTGCATGTATCTATGTGTACCACATGTGTGCCTACTGCCAAGGAGGCCAGAACAGAATATTAGATGCCCTGGAACTGGGTTACAGACAGTAGTGTGAGCTGCCATGTGGGTGCTGGGAACTGAACCCAGGTCCTCTAAAAGAACACCCAGTACTCTTAACCACTTAGCCATGTCTCCAGCCCTATGTGTATGTATGTCTATGTGTGAGCGTGCACATTCATGTGTATTTATGGCTGTGTGTGTTTGCATATGGTGTGCATGCACCTGTGAGCATGTGTGTGGAGGCTCTCATCAGGCTGTGGGGATTTCTGCAGGCACTGTTGACTCTAGTGTCTCCGGACTATAAAAGAGATCTTCAGATGATGGTGTTAGTGTAGAATGTGGTATAATATGGATTTCACATATCCAAAACACTCCCAGGGAAGGCCTGGTAGTGGCAGTCTGGAAGCCGCAGTAGGAAACAGGAAGATTTGGATGTCAACAGCCCAAGATACAGGAAATGAGATTACATGATTCAGCCTATCTTTAGCAGGGAGGAGATACCATTACGGGAAAATAAGCCCAGAGATGTCAAGTAATGGCTTTCCTATGCGACAGCCCAGAAACACTGAGAAGAACAGAGTAAAACCACCAGTAACTGTGTTGGTACCAAGGTCCGAAAGCCATTGCTACTATGAAAAGAGACAGCTTGGGTTTACTTCCTTTCTTCCATTTTCTGTGTGAACTTGGCCTAGTTCTCCTGCCCGTGGATTCCTCATCCAAAATGTATCTATCATGGGGTGTGGTTGGTGAGTGCCTGAAATGCCACCACTTAGAGGAGGAGACAGGGGGATCAAGAGTTCAAAGTCATCCTGGGCTACATAGCATGTTCAAGACCAGC